TTAGACACTTCCAATCCAGTCAAAACAGTGCTATTAACAGCCCTTTGATTGCCCATTGTTTTCAAAACAATATTAGTTTCCTTTCCCTTTAATTTCAAACTATGCATTAAGCGTTCTGAACAAAATGTGGTAGAACTGCCAGGATCCAAAAATGCATAGGTTTGAATTACCGTTTGTCCCTTGCTGGATTTGACTTGAACTGGTACAATTGATAATGCACAGTCTCCATCGTCACCGGCCCCTGTTTGCCCACATGTTGTAAGGGCAACATGTGCACTACTTAAAGATGAATGACTTTGTTCTTGAGTGCACACTCTTTCCTTTTGTTGGATATGCAAAATGCTGGGATGCTTTTGACCACACACTGTACAAGTCAAGCGCTTATCACATCTTTTACTTATGTGTCCAAAAGAAAAACAGCCAAAACAAACACCTTTTTCCTTTAGAAAGTTCAATTTGTCTTTATGCAGCTTGTTTTGCATTTGTGTACACTGCTCCAATAAGTGATCACGTTTGCAGCACAAACATACAACTGGGGCCTTTGATCTTAAATCAGTCTCACAGCATTGAATTGATTTATTGTTGGTGACAACCGTTGTTGCAAAGCTGTTTCTAACTTTAGTCTTAGGTTGGAATTTCTGTTGCACAGGCTGGGTACTCTGGATATCACCAAACAAGGGATCTGATGACATTTTGACTTGATGTTCAACAAATATCACAATATCTTTAAACCGTGCTCTCTGCTTGCGTCTTTCCATTAACTCACATGCAACAGTTCTCCAATTTTCCCTTAATTTGTAAGGCAACTTCATGATGATGGTTTTCAAATTGCTTGGCATCTCTAGCTCTTCCATATAGTCAATTTCTTCCATTACATTACAGCATCCACGCAAAAAGAGAGCATAACTCTGCAATGAATTTACATCCTCAGATTTTATTGAAGGCCATGCCAAAACCTTTTCTACATATGCAGAAGCTATTTTGAATTCATTGCCGTAATGTTCCTTTAACAATGCTTTAGCTTGCACATACCCTCTTTGTGCATCCATATGCTGACAACTGCGCACAATCTCCCTTGGCTGACCTTGTGTATATTGTTCCAGAAAGTATAAACAATCTCTACTATTTTTGGTTTTGTCTTCTATTCCATGCTCAAATGCTCTCATAAAAGTTTTATATTGCAGAGGATTGCCATCAAACACAGGAATATCTCTTTGAGGCAGTGTGCTGGATTGTTGTTGTTGTACAAGCAGGGTGGTAATCTCATTTTGTTTTTGCAAGATACTACAAAGGTTCGAAGTTATTATTCCATCACTGTTCTGCATTACACTTGAGGATTGCATTTGTGACGTGAAATGAGGATCAATTTGTGGCACACTGTGAATTTGCTGAATCACGTTCCTTGAGCTTTCTTGCAGGGGGACTTCTATTGGCACATATGCCTCTGCATGCGGGTTGAGAGTAACAGTTCCTTTATCACAATATGCATTCATATCATCAGTGCAGGTTTTGAGAGACTGATTATTTAAAACAGCAATTTTTGCAGTAGCGGCTGCAATCTCTGCATCAATATCCAGCTGTTCTTGTCTATGTCTCAGCTTTTCTTGTTGTACCTCCAAAGTATGCTTTTCCTTTAAAGCAGCTGCACGCGCCATTAATGCAGCTTTCTCTGCCTCTGCCATGATTCGTGCTGAAGCAGCAGAAGATCTCCCACTACGTACACTGCTTGAACTTTTCTTACTGGACGATTTACTGGATTTACATGAGGATATGTTGGAAATGCTATCATCTGGATTAACATCCTCTTGACAAACCCTTGCATCAACACCAGAACATGAAACTTGACTTTCAGCGCTCAACCATTTCTCAACATCATCTACAAACTCATCGCAAATCAACATCTTTCCATTGAACCATGTTTGTTGTTTTTCCTTTTCTTCACTGGGCAAAAGAACCATCACCGAATTGTGCATTTCCTTTGTTTCGTCTCTCAATTTGATGAATTTCTCAAAGGAACACTGCACCTCCTTTTCATATTCTCGGTTGGACATAAAATCCTTTATAATAGCCATTAAGTTCTTTGCCTTGCTTAGTTTACACTTTCGTGTCTTTTGCAAAGTTTCCAATTTTTCCAATAAAGCCTTAGGAGTAAGCTTAATGAGCCGCTTTTCCCTCACATGCTCTGTTTCAAACTTCTCAAATGGCACAATAGTCTCTGTCTGTTCACAGGTAGTCGCACCATCATCATCACAATTCATTAAACTCATATTCACAGCTGAAATCGTTTGCCTCCTAAGCAACTTTAAAACTTAAGCAACCAATGCATTGGATTTACGCTATTGTGTGCACACAAAGTCATTCATTAAGTAGCGCTACACATACCTTTGTTTCATTCATTCAGTTCATCACGGCTGCTCCTCAAGAAAGTCCAAAAATGATGCATGATGATCCACAAAGAAGCCATTTTTTGACAAATGTAGTGACACAAATGACCATTTTGTCACTTGAGGTGTTGTAGGGTTGTTTCTGACGCGTGAGAGCTCAACAAACGAATCATCCTCCAAATACTGCTTATCAGATTTATTTTTTGCACAGACAGTTCTTATGGTTCAATTTCCACTCACAGTCTGATATATAAATGCTCATAAAATCACATTGAATGCCTCAATAAAGCTCTTTCAAACACGGTCAAAAAATGTTGTGCTTCCCTCTAATTACACACCTGTTGTTCTAAGTCTTTAGGTGCGTTCGACATAAAGCTCAGCTGCAGCCGGTGATCAACGAGATTAGCCGAGCGCAGGCGGGGCGGAGTTGAAAACGGAGCCGTCAAGACGGACAGCTGGACACTTCGGGACTCAAAGTTGCTGCAGTCATGATGACCGATCACATGGCGTCATCATATTTTTTTGTTATTTTTATTTATAACAACAAAACATTTACAAATAAAACAGAATACAGTCTCTTCAAACTGTAGTTCCTTTTTAAACAATAAGGGAGAATTATGAATAAAATATGTAACAAATGTATGAGAGAAATAAGAGGAAATGAGAGGTTAATATAAACATAAAAACGAACAGGTCTATTAAATACAAAGCAGTAAGCATAAATTCTAGGAGTTAAACATCAATCTTTAGGCTGATACTTCTTGTTTGAATCTGCTAAAAAGGGGTTTACATATATGTACATTTATAGATATAAAAAATTTCCCATGTAAAAAGCAAAACAAGGTGTTTTGATTAGGCCAAATAAATGACATTATTTTGGATAATGAATGAATTTTCAAAAAAGCATTTTAATCCAAAAAGATTGTGTTGAAAAGAACAAAAGGTAAAATAAGTGAGCGATGTAGAAGTTTCCCAGAAAGAGCAGGTAGCCTTTAAACTGCTAGACAGGAAATAAAATATATATTTATATTATAATAATAAAGCCATTTTATAATTATTTAATAAAATAGTTCTTTACTTTAATTTGTTAAGAGAGCTTTAGGGGGGCAGGATCAATGATGATGATTTTCTTATTTCAAGTCTGTAAGACTTATTTGAGTTCATATTTAGGTTATTCACTAAAATATACACTAAAATACATCATTTAAATCGTTCATGGAGATGAATGCAGTAAATAGTCTGTATAAAAAAGTTAAAAAATAAACCTGTGCAAACAAGCTAACCTTTATAACCAGATTATTTAACAAAAGATGATACTGCAGTAAAATATTTGTAGTCTTTTAATAAGCAAGATGTGTACAGGATAGAGAGGGTGTGAAAAGTGAATTGTTTGTTTTGAAACTTTTGAATCGGAATTTGTCCAATTATAAACCCGAAATACACGTGTTTGTTGTCATGTGGTGAACTTGGCCAATCGTGTAATATCGGTGTCGTCATCAAAGCTCCTGCAGTCGCTCTTCAGAAGCTGCACGGTCTGAGTTTGCCGTCTGATCTCGGAGCGCTGTCGCGGTACTTTGATGCCACATGTGACAGTCACGTGGCGTCAGCGCAGCATCAATCCGGACAAGATTTCTAACCAGAATGCACCGCTTTAAGACAGATTTCGATCGATCTGCGCAGCGCTGCATGAAGTCGAACGCACCTTTTGTCTACCTATATACTCCTCCAAACCCCCACTCCACCCAGTGGTCAAAAACAGCATTACAAAAAACATAATGGCTCTTACACTGTTTATTTGACTGTGAACAATGTTGTACTTTGATAGTCATTTGCTGCTAATATGATTTCACTGTTTAGAGTTTGCAAATAATACTTTTATGAAATTATATTATTAAGGGGAAAGTCTGAATATCTAAATATAAAACCAACTATACTTCTATGTACACTCAGGGCTGCAAGATGGATTTAATTTAGTATTTTTATTATTGAAATATATCTGAATGAGGATCAAATGACTGAGCTGGTGTGTGAGAATAAAAACCAACCTGTTTGTTCCTGCAGATCTTCCTGTTTAACTGTAAATGTTTCTTCAATCTTCACATCTTCACTCTCCTCTTTAATAAACGCCATCTTTATAATAGTGTGGAGATCAGTCGCTTCAGCAGCAGTTTTACTCTGTGTTTGGACACTTTATCCTGTTTAAAATTAACAAAACAATAAAAATGTTCTGTTTAAAATAAATAAAACAATGAACAGAAACAAGATAACTTCTCTTTAAACGTGTCTTCATATGAGTAATCAACAAAAAGAAATCGGGTAAAACGTTTCTTTAAAACACTTATTACACACTTTATTCAAACAATAGCTCTCAGATAATGAAATAGTACTACGTTGTATAAAAAGTTAAAATAATATTTCCAACAGCAGGAACATAATTTAATATCGTATAAAAAACCTAAAACTTCAGAACTTTAACTTTAAATCGGTTTATATCTGTAAACGTTTTAAAACAAACCTTACTGCAGTTTTTTTTTTTTTTTCCACAGGAATCATTTATTCTGATGCTTTTATTGGATTTATTGATCTTTTTTTTTTTTTTTATTGAACAAACCGGGATGTACAGAGTTATACATAAAAACAGTATACAATGGAATTAACAACAAAAATTAATCGTGTACATTAAGTATTTTTTCCAGTAGTTGAGATGTCTTAATAGCTTTGGTATTACTTTGTATAGCAGTGAGGGAATCATAAAAAAGTTTTAGATCAATGAAAAATAGTTTACAATTTGGTACAGTCAGCATACATTTTGTTTTGTGGATGTGATACTTTCCAAATAAAATAAGAATTTTTGCTTTTTTGTCCATTTCCAGTAATCCAGAGTTGCAATCCGTAAAAAAAAACCATTTGCTCAGTTATACTGATTAATTTATAAAACACTTCAAAAAGTAGTAAGGAAACTTGGGACCAAAACTGTTTTGTGTAACTGCAACTGAAAAATAAATGAAGAATTGTTTCCGGTTCCTTTTTACAAAAACAACACAAGGGTGAAAAACCTTCCTTAAACTTACTTATAAAATCATTGCATGGATAATATCTATGTAATATTTTAAAATTTGTTTCTTTTACTTTATTAGGAATAATGTATTTTGTAATATCTGACCAGATTTTTGGGGAAAAGAAGAATGAAGGGAATGCTTGTTTATATTTAACCATTGCAATTGGAGGAACACTTTTATCTGCAGTTAGGATATTCCTGATATAATTGTTATTACATTTTTTATCTTTGATAGAAAGGCCCTTAAAACCTTACTGCAGTTGAAACATAGCGCTGATGCGGCGCCGCCTGATGACGTCACAGGCTACGCCAAAATAAAAGTATTTTTTGTTTAGCTTTTTTGCCACTTACTGTTGCATTCATGACTTACTGATACATTTCGCCCATCTTTTTCTCTTTACACTATATCTGCTCTCTCTCTGTCTCTCTCTCTCTTCTCACACACAAACCTTCTCAGATAGCAAACCGATGTTGATTCAACGTTGAATAAGGGGTTCGGGGGAGAAGAGACTTTCCTGAGGTACATTTAAAGTGCTTTTAAAACTTATAAAATGGCAAGAAATGTAATAATAATAAATAATAATAATAATCTCACAATTATTAGGAGAGGAAATAGCTATGAAAGGAAAATAGTTTATTGTAGCCACAACTGTTTGTTTTGTGTCTACACAAATCCATTTAGTCAAATACTACATTAGTAGTCATATTAACTTAAAATATTGTAATTATTATACGTGTATAAAATAGACCTATACGTTATTGGCAGCAATGTATAATCTTATTTCAAGTTTGCATTTTATTTAAAATGATTAAGAAATGTTTATATTAATTTACTAATTCAATTTACTCTAACATTACAGAAAACACATTATGTTTACCAATCGCACTAACAATAACACTAAGCTGCTTCTTTTTAAAGGATAAAAATTGAGTAAAAAGTGTACTTAAAAAAGAGGCACCAGTTCCAGCTGCCACAAAAAGGCAATGGACACAGAATAAAATAGCTTGCGTCAAAAAGACAGAGAATCAGGGATAACAGCAACAAACATTTTAAAAGAAGAAGGGATAGACCTTGTTGAACTCATGAAATGCACAGACATACGTTCAACATGAGTCTACCTCAAGGGCCAGTCTTGCAGTTTTTTTGTTTTTGTTTTTTGCATCCATCGAAACAGATAGGAGTTGAATTAAAACAGATAGCTGGATTGACATTTTAAAAAATGATACAAAAAAAGTATAGAAATAAAAGGTAAAATGCAAATGCATAATTTAAATGGTGTAATGGTTGATTTTTATAATTGTCTATAATGTATTCATATACTTTTATTTATTTCTGTATTTATTAAGTTTTTGTATGTTTGTTGTTTTGTTTATCTTTTAGAACTCATACTGTATTGCTAACAGCAAGTGACAGAATTTCTTTCTTTCATTCCAATTACAGCAAATAACTCCTGCAGGAATTATAAAATCCTGCAGGATTTGTCACTTGCTTGGATCCACTGTGAAACCTGTAAGAAATTCCTGCACATATCGTCAATGTGTCCTACAGGATTTTATAATTCCTGCAGTACTGCAGCTGTCCTGCAGGGGGAAAGATCCTTCAGGATTCCTGTAAAAAGTACTGCATGATTCTAAAACCTGTAGGAATTGCCTGCACATATTGTCATTTTGTCCTACAGGATTTCATAATTCCTACAGGATACCAGCAGGTTCCTGCAGAAAAAAAATGAAGAAAACACAAGAACAGAATAAACTCAATGAATGTATCCTTACATTATGTAGGAACTGAAATACCTTAGGTAATTTGAGAAGGCAGTGAAAGCAGTCATTTTATATTCAGGGAAATCCACATTGAAGGACTGATGTTACTTTCTCCAATACAGCAGGTGGCGGTGTGCAGTTTTACTCTGCTCTCTGACTCAACGCACAGCCAGAAGAAGAAGAGGTGCGTAGCGTCTAAACTTTCTTCTCCACATCCAGCAGTTAATACTGCTTTAGGTAAAGTCACGCATGTAACCCTTTGCATGTCATTTGATTGAATGTAAATCCCGCATGTCCTTTGGGCCCCTGCATGTCCTTATCTACTCTGTTCTGAGTGTTTGTGACGGATGTTTTTACTGCACTCGTGTGACCGTAGACTGTAAAGTATAGGGTGTGACCATTGAGATGAAATCTGTGAGTCATAGTTCAGTAAATCAAAGTTCTCCAATATATTTCATATGTTTTTCAATATGAACATGTTTGCTGAATCCAGCTTTTTAACATGCTTTACAGCACTGCTCGACGTTGATCACTTGTAATGTCTGCGCGAGTGCGCGTTAACGATCGCGTGCATGAGCGACCTGGGCGTTCCCGAGAGAGTATTTCACGGAACAGCGCCCCCTGGTCACAATTTTCGGCACAACATAACCCTTCAGAAACGAAAGTGAAAAAGCTTGTTGAATCCATCATTTACCTACACTGAATAGCTTTATATCTTTAATGTCCTGACAGAACCTGTATTGCTGAGTTCACTGCATGATTTTCAAAGTAGTCGTGTCACCGATGTTTTGGTAAAGTTAGTTTTATATTCGCACATTTGTTTATTTAGAAGTCTCTATATTGTTTACCATGTTACTTTGAATATTCGATCGGATTTAGCATGCAAGTATGACTCGAAAACAACATTACACTGATTATTTGACTGTGAACAATGTTGTACTTTGATAGTCATTGGCGGCTAATATGATTTCACTGTTTAGAGTTTCCAAATAATTATTTCATGAAATTATATTATTAAGGGCAAAGTCCGAATGTGCAAATATAAAACCAACTTTACCTCTATTGTTTTCACACTGCATGACAGTCTGGGCTAGCGTTTTGTTGCTGCTTTGTTTACACATATGGACAGGGGCTTTCACACTGTATCACAGACAACTTTGTTTTAACCAAAACAACCAAAAACACGTATATATTTGTTTATTAACTACATAAGAAGTAAAAGCATAATAGAGTAGAAAATATACATATTTGTTCACCTGGATTTGAGGGGAATTAGCAATTTATCCTCAATTTTTTATTTATTTTTTGACCAGATTGTAACATTGCTCACATGACACGTCAAACAGACACAGGTGCTCCTGCCAAATTTACATTCGTTTTTCCTACAATTCTTGGGTCCAAATAAACTGAAAATGAGCGCATTTAACTTCTCTCTGATGTAATTTTCAGTCAAAACTCATTTCACAATGACAACTCCGACAACTCCATCCAAACTACGTCTCACAGCCAAAAACACGTAGTATATCTTTTGTTATTAACTACATAATGAGAAAGAAGCCTTTAATGGGGTTGAACATGTCCATGTTTGCTCACCTGGGTTTAAAGGGAATTAGCCATTTCTCCTCAACGTTGATGATAAACTAATTTCTTTCTGTATGAAACGTCAAACAGACACGGTTGCTCCTGAGTCCTGTCAAACCTCCTCTAGTTTCCCCTCCATTTCGTGGGTCCAAATAAACCGAAAAAGAGTGCTTTTAACTTCTCCCGCTGGCCTGCAGCAGGTATACACACACGCACACACAAGTGAATGCTGCTCTCTCATTGGCTGTAGGCGATCGCTAATATTAATTTCAGTCAAAACTCAATTCACACGGCATGATTTGAATCGCCGACAGCTCTAGGTATTTAGCATGCCAAATATCTCACAGGCATCGGCGACTCATTTGCGATTCTCTCAGATCGCGTCTTTGAAAGTTCATACTGTGTGATTGTCACTCACGTGCACGAGCACTGATTTGCCTGTGATTTCAGGCATTTGTCGGCGATTTCTTAAAACCTGTCGGCGAGCCAAAATCGGGGCTAAAATCACGCAGTCTGAACTAGGCATTACTTGCGTGCACAAGTACTGATTTGCCTGTGATTTCAGGCATTTGTCTGCGATTTCTCCAAACCTGTCGGCAAGTCAGAATCGGGGCTAAAATCATACAGTCTGAACTTGGCATAAGGTTTATGTGAATCTGTATGTATAATTATAATTTAATCCTAATCAAACGGATGATGGCTGTGATTATTTTGTTTGTTTACTCATGATGTGTCTCAGCTGCTGATCTATTCCTGCATTTAGCTGAATTTTGAAGGCTGATCAATGACTGGAGATCTGTGATTGTTCATCAGTTTCCTCTAGAGTTTCTGCTGGAGATCAAACTTTTCAGATCCATCATGGAGGACACGCACACTTCTGGAGATCTGGATTTGTTTGCATCATGGAGGTATTTCGTCTACACAATACATTTCATATGATTATTTTTTACAAGATATTATATTTACTCTCTATTAGTTGTGGATTTAATATATAAAATATATTTTATGTCAGAATATATATATATATATATATATATATATATATATATATATCACTTCTTACCTGGTGTTTTAAACAATGGATTGTCTACGTGTTTGCAAAATGGAAGTCGTGCGACATCTTCCCTATCCACCTTACTCTGAGGAAATGAGTGAACTTGAAATCTCTCAATACTGTCAGGTAAGAGCTGGCCAGAAAGTATCAAACAAAAACAATCGAAAGAAAGATGTACAAATATCACAAAGTAGCTCAACATGGGCAAAAGTAATACAAAATAATTTTACCGAAACAAAAGTTAAGCAAAAACAACAAAAAACAAAATCATGTCAGCAAAAACAAAATCAAAGGAAAAGCGTTTTCCTCTGCTTTTCCTGGCATCCTTTTATATGACCGCGCCTTGTGCCCAATGATGATCGACTGATCTCCTCACCAATCGGCTCTCGCAAAGGCAGACCTAAAGGAAATGACAGGCTGGGAGAAAGCGAAAGAGAGACAAAACAAAGAGAGAAAACAGAAGGCAAAAATACTACAAATATATGGCAACCGTAACACTCACATTTGATCATTAGTGAAGTACTGAAGTAGTAGTAAGTAACTAAAGTATTGAAACTCAAAATGTAAAGAGTTAGTAAAGTGAATGGAAAAGGATACTTGTTTAAAATGAAACTGTTTAAATCTTCTCTGTTTATTATCTTAATAAAGTGGAGCAATGTTACAGTGTTGTTACTGAAATCCTGATCCTGAATTTAATAAATGACAAACACTGTTACACGTTTAAAGCATTTTGAGCATTAGACGTGATCAGTGTGTGGTGTGTAAAGTGCTTCACAATAGAGCTATGAGAGACATTTGAAGACTGGCCGGTTCTTGCTGATCTGGAACAGTTTCTGCATTACTATAGTTTGCTTCTGGATTAAATCTGTGTAATGTGTCTAAGCTGTTTCAGAGAAAACACACATGGCTTTACTAAAGGATCTTTACACTCATACTCATTCATTCTTTGTGTCGTTGTTGTTCCTGCAGTGTGGATGGAGATGATCAGACTGGAGACCTGCAGCAGGATTCACTCCAACCAGAACATGATGAACTGCAGAGAGTCAAAGAGCAGCACAAAACTAGCATGAAGAACAAGTATGAGAGATTATTTGAGGGAATCAACCATGGAGAGACTCAAAAATTCCTGAACAGGATTTACACACAGCTCTACATTATAGAAGGAGAGAGTGAAGGAGTGAATAGAGAGCATGACGTTTTACAGATAGAGAAAAGAGTCAGAACAAAACCCTCACAACACACTCCAGTCTACTGCAATGACATCTTTAAAGCCTCAGCTGGAGCAGGACATGAGGAGAAGATCAAGAAGGAGAAAGCCCAGATCAAGACTGTTCTCACTAAAGGCATCGCTGGAATCGGGAAAACCGTCTCTGTGCAGAAGTTCATTCTGGACTGGGTCGAGGGAAAAGACCATCAGGATGTAGATTTCATGTTTGTGCTTCCATTTCGAGAGCTGAACTTGATCAGAGATCATCAGTACAGTCTTCACAGCCTTCTGCTGGACTTTCATCCTGAACTCGAAGATCTGGAGCCCAAGATTTATGAGCAGTGTAGAGTTGTGTTCATCTTTGATGGTCTGGATGAAAGCAGAATCACGCTGAACTTTTCAGATGAGGAGAAAGTTTGTGCTGTGACTGAATCTTCATCAGTGGCTGTGTTGATGTGGAGTCTCCTGAAAGGAGATCTGCTTCCCTCTGCTCTCATCTGGATCACCTCCAGACCAGCTGCAGCCCATCAGATCCCCTCCACATACATCAACCGTCTGACAGAGATTCAGGGATTCACTGAGCCTCAGAAGGAGGAATATTTCAGGAAGAGAATCAGCGACGAGCATCAAGCCAGCAGAATCATCTCCCACATCAGAAGAGCAAGAAGCCTCCAGATCATGTGCCACATACCCGTCTTCTGCTGGATCTCCTCCACTGTGCTTCAGAAGCTCCTGGAAGAAGATGTGAGTGCAGAAATCCCTCAAACTCTGACTGAGATGTACATCCACTTCCTGCTGATTCAGATCAACATGAGGAAGCAGAAGTATGAAGAGAGAGATCCAGAGAAACTCCTGCAGTCCAACAGAGGAGTGATCCTCAAACTTGCTGAAGTGGCTTTCAGACAGCTGATGAAGGGCAATGTGATGTTCTATGAGGAGGACCTGATTGAGAGCGGCATAGTAGTCACTGACGCCTCAGTGTATTCTAGGATCTGCACTGAGATCTTCAAGGAGGAATCTGTGATTCATCAGAGGAAAGTATACAGCTTCATCCATCTCAGCTTTCAGGAGTTTCTGGCTGCTTTCTTTGTGTTTCACTGCTATTTAACAGATAAAAGAGAACCACTGATGTTGCTTTATGAGAGTAAATATTCAGATGATGAAGATGTGTCAGATGGTTATGAAGATGAAGATTCAGATGTTCAATTTTTACAGTCCAGCTCTGAGTTCTCTCTGTGCCATCTGCTCAGTTTAGCAATATATAAAGCTGTCAGCAGTAGTAATGGTCATCTGGATCTGTTCCTGTGGTTCCTGCTGGGCGTCTCACTGGAGTCCAATCAGAGACTCTTCCAGGATCTGCTGACACACACAGAGGAGAGCTCAGAGAGCATCAGGACAATCACACAGCACATTAAAGACAAGATCAAGAGAGATGTCTTTCTCTCAGCTGAAAGATCCATCAATCTGTTCCTCTGTCTGCTGGAGGTGAAAGATCAGACTCTGGCCAGAGAGATTCAGGAGTTTTTGAAATCAGACAAACACTCAGAGGAGGAACTCTCTCCTGCTCACTGCTCAACAATCTCCTACATGATTGAGATGTCAGAGGAGCCGCTGGATGAGTTAGACTTTAATAAATTGAACACATCAGATGAGGGAAGATGGAGACTGATACCAGCTGTGAGAAACTGCAGAAGAGCTCTGTGAGTATTCATTGATTGATCAATGTATACTTATTAGTTTATTTCCAGTGTTAATTTTATCACTGTAGACTGGACTCATGAACACTCAACACTGCTCATTTCTTACTGCTGATTTTGTTGTTCTTTGTCCTCTACACAGGCTACAGTGGAGTTATCTCGATGTTCAGCATTGTGAGAGTTTGTTTTCAGCTCTACAATCCTCAAACTGTGTGCTGAGAGAGCTGGACCTGAGTAACATTGACCTGCAGGATTCAGTGAAGCTTCTCTCTGATAGGCTGAAGAGTCCAAACTGTAAACTGGAGACACTGAGGTAAAATAAAAGAAAGTTTACCTAAAATAAATGCTGCCACAAATGACTTTTACATTGTGCAAAAAAAAAAAAGTATGATAAAGTAACGAGCATATGCTGTAATGCATTTTATTTTTTGTTTATTTAGTGTGAATATTTCATGTTTCAGATGTAAAGTCAAGTATGAGAAAACTTTTTATACTAGTTATAATATTGCTCTTAAGTGTAATTTCTGCTGAAATTATCATTGATTCATGTTCGACTTGTGAATTTGTATGTGTTGTATTAGTTTTGTGTGTGGAAATTGAGTCGGTTCTGGTTAGAGTGGAATGATCTCACTGATGTTGTTTTCTTCATTCCATCTATTTTGACCTTCTCTATGCTGATAATGATCAGGTGACAGTCATCTGTGTCCCTGATAAAACTGTCATTGCCTTCTGATTAGAGTAGTCCACTAGTGTAGTAGTGTTTACTATGAAGCTGGTTAGTTGCTCTCCTGTATTCTTCTTTAAATCTTGTGATTCTTTTATTAGGGACCGAGCACCGAACGGTGCAAGGCCCTATTGGAATTGCTCCGTTTATTAGGGACCGAGAACCGGAACGGTGCGTAGGCCCTATTGGAATTGCTCCGTTTATTATTATTATTATTATTATTAGGGACCGAGCACCGAAACGGTGCGTAGGCCCTATTGGAATTGCTCCGTTTATTATTATTATTATTATTATTATTATTATTATTATTATTATTATTATTATTCTCCTCCGGAATGAATCGCGATTTTGAGGGGCTAAACATGCCCGAAAACTCACGCAACTTTGCACACGCCTCAGAAGTGGCGAAAATTTACGTTTATTATGGGTCTCGGAAGTGGGTGTGGCAAAATGACTCGACAGCGCCACCTAGAAAAATTAAACGGACGAGCCCCCGATCTACAAATCACGCACATGCACGAAAATTGGCACACACCTCAAACATGCCAAAACAGACGAAAAAGTCTCTTGGAGCCATATCTCAAACCCAACAGGAAGTCGGATATTTTTGACTTCCTGCGGTGAAAAAGTGGCGTTTTTGCCATTTCCAGGCGTTGTATTTTAACGAACTCCTCCTAGAGATTTCATCCGATCGACACCAAAATTGGGTTTTGTCATCTAAAGGCCTTGGCGATGTTAAATTGCGAAGCTTTAGAGTTTTCGTCGATGGGCGTGTCCGTGGCGGCCTCGCAAAGTTTGACGATTCGCCACAAAACAGGAAGTCGTTATAACTCAGGCATGCATTATCTGATCTGCCTCAAAATTCACACGTTTGATAAGAGTCCTGACCTGAACACGTTTACATGCCGATATCCAGATACAATTACAGCGCCACCTGCTGGCCACAGGAAATGACATGTTTTACAGAGTAACAAACTCCTCCCACAAATTTTATCGTTTCAGCACCAAAATTGGGTAGTGTTATCTAAAAGCTCTAGCGATGATATATTGTGAAGATCTAGAGTTTTCGGAGAGGGGCGTGTCCGTGGCGGCATGACAAACCTCAACGCTTCGCCATATACCAGGAAGGCTTTATAACTCAACCACACAATGTCCGATCTGCCTGAAACTTCACATGGTTGATAAAAGTCCTCTCTTGAACACATCAACATAACAATATTGAAGTGGGCGTGGCAAAATGACTCGACAGCGCCACCTACCAAAATTAATCGGACGAGCCCCCAATCTACGAATCACGCACATGCACAAAAATTGGCACACACCTCAAACATGGCAAAACATACGAAAAAGTCTCTTGGAGCCATATCTCAAACCCAACAGGAAGTTGGATATTTTTAACTTCCTGTGGCGAAAAAGTGGCGCTTTTGCCATTTTCAGGCGTTGTATTTTAACGAACTCCTCCTAGGGATTTTATCTGATCGACACCAAAATTGGGTTTTGTCATCTTAAAGCCTTGGTGATGTTAAATTGCGAAGCTTTAGAGTTTTCATCGATGGGCGTGTCCGTGGCGGCCTCGCAAACTTTGATGATTCGCCACAAAACAGGAAGTCTTTATAACTCTGGCATGCATCATCCGATCTGCCTCAAAATTCACACGTTTAATAACAGTCCTGACCTGATCAGGTTTACGTGCCGATATCCAGTTGCAGTTACAGCGCCACCTGCTGGCCACAGGAAATGACATGTTTGACACTGTAACAAACTCCTTCCACAAACTTTCCCGTATCAGCACCAAAATAGAGTGGTGTCATCTGAAAGCTCTAGCGATGATATATTGTGAAGATCTAGAGTTTTCACAGAGGGGCGTGTCTGTGGTGGCATGACAAACCTCAACGCTTCACCATGGAACAGGAATTTCTTATAACTCAACCACACAATGTCTGATCTGCCTGAAACTTCACATGAGTGATAAAAGTCCTCTCCTGAACACATCCACATAACAATATTGAGTCAGTCATAGCGCCACCTGCTGGCAGAAGAAATTTTGGCTTGTAACTCGGCCACACAATGTCAGATCTGCCTAAAATGTCACATGGTTGATGAAAGTCCTCTCCTAAAAACATCTACATAATAATATTGAGTCTTTCATAGCGCCACCTGCTGGCAGAATGTAGTTTGTCTTAAAACACAATCTCCACACAATCTCTGATCTGCCTGAAACTTCACATGGTTGATAAAAGTCCGCTCCTGAACACATCCACATAACAATATTGAGTCAGTCATAACGCCACCTGCTGGCAGAAGGTAGTTTGGCTTATAACTCAGCCACACAATGTCCCATGTGCCTGAAACTTCACATGGTTGATAAGTGTCCTCTCCGGAAGACATCTACATGCCAATCTTAAGTCACAGTTATAGCGCCACCTGCTGACAGGAGGAAGTTTGGCATAAATCTGTGATTTTCTTAGATCATTTTTTATATATTGGCTTAAATTATTATTGTTCGCTGTTCTCTGACATCGTAAGGTCACCGGGCGGCGGTGAGCCCGGGTGCGAGGTCCCTATCATCGCTGCTTGCAGCTTTAATTATTATTCTTCTTCTTCCGCGGAATGAATCGCGATTTTGAGGGGCTAAACATGCTCGAAAACTCACGCAACTTTGCACACGCCTCAGAAGTGGCGAAAATTTACGTTTGTTATGGGCTTCGGAAGTGGGC